AATGGGGCAGGGAAGAGGGGCAATTAGCACTGCTGAGTGACAGGGCCAATTAACTCACTTGCAATGTGGCTACTCTGCTTCCAGTTTAGGAGGCAGCAGCCCACTTGAAGCAGCTAAGGATGCACGAGCCCGCTACTGCTGGCAAGTAGAGATCTCATTTATTATATAACCATGGTCTTAATTTCTGTGGCTTCGTTTCACATGCTTTTTGAGACCTAGGGCTGAAAAGCATTATGTACTGTGAAGATATTATTTTCAAAATACTCAATCTGGCACCTTTCTGCATCTTAGGTGGAAAAATAATTTTATACTAATTACAGAGTCAAGTATAGTAGAATGCATTTTTTACACCAAAAAAAGATAAGCTTATATGCTTACCAGCTCTTTTAATCCTCTTCCTCTCCTTCAGCTGGTAGGGCTTGTGATCATGTGACAAGGGGATAGCATTCCCATCTTTATCGCACAAGACGCCTCGGGAATCACCAACATTGGCCACTGTTAATTCTTTATCTGACAGCAATGCAATCAAACATGTTGTGCCTGAAAAAGGAGGGAAAAGAGGCAATGAAACAGAATCACCATTACTTACACCACAGACCTTCCACCAGCTGTTATCTGTTTCTGGCAACCACAAGCAGTAGCAGCTGCACTTGTATCTGCCTGAAACATCTTGTGCTCTGATGACGGTTTATTTAATGGCATTGATCAAACCTGATAGTCAATTTCTTCTAACTATAATTTTAGTCCACTGGATTTTAACTCCGACAGGCTGGAATTACAGGGTCATTTCCCCAGCACAACATCTCTCGTCTGCTTTATCATTTAGGTGCAATTTTACAATGAACTTAGAGCAGAAACCTGCTTGGATAAAGAAACTTCTCCTAATATACCCAGTTTATATTGCTGTCTCATGGGACAGTGAGCATTCACATAATGGGGAAAATAGCTGTTAAAAACTACATCCTGTCCGCCTTCTGGTTCAGACGTGATAAAGTTCACTAGCAGGAAATTGTTGTCCAAATTAAGGCAGACAGAGAGAAGTTCAGGTAAGGGAAAATAGATTCTTCACTCAGCCTGACAGCTGTCTTCTCCTACTGGTCAAGGAAAATAACAGGAGAAAATTTCTATTGGCATAGCAGCCTACTAGTAGTCTTTGTGAATGGCAATTGCTACATTTGAGAAATGCATGAATAAAATAAATCTTATCTGAGTATAACTTTCTACGTGGCCCTGACGGAGAGGACTGCTGTCAAGACTGGTATGCCATGCCATGCCCCCAGCAGTGGATGTAAATAGGATGCACATCCTCTGCAGGGTACAGAATATGATTTAGGATAGAGGCCTTGTGGCAAGGATGAGCTCAAGGATATGTTACACTGTGTATACCAGGGGCGGGCAATTATTTTGGACAGAGGGCCGCTTACTGAGTTTTGGCAAGCCATCGAGGGCCACATGACAGGCAGGTCAGGGCAGGTTAATTTTCTAAATTTTTTAGGGGCCCGTGGGCCATACAGAATGGCCTGGTGGGCCGCATCCGGCCCCCGGGCCGCATTTTGCCCACCCCTGGTGTATACGCTGTGAGAAGACACATGGGCAAAATGGCTCAAGTCACTGGTAAGAGTCCTGTAGATACTTGTCTGAAGGACCGGTCCTTTCCTTATTATCTCACAGAAATAAGGATGTCTACATTTTGTTATCATGTTTCATTTAGTAGAAATGAAAAAAAAAAAAAAAAAAGGCAAAGTTTAATAGAGAAGCTGGAAAATATTTCTCATTTTCCCAATTTGGAATCTGATAAGCATTGATTTTATGTACAAAACTTCCACCCACACACACACACACACACACACACACACACACACACACACACACGCATGTGCGCATATACACAGCATTAGTTTGGGAAGGCAGATATCAAATATAAATGAGGCCAAAATTAAACTATCATGTGACCTAAAGGCCCAGAGGAATGTTTTGCCTCAGACAGTCTTTCAATAAAAGATAGGTGCAAAGATGTCATTATAATAAAGCTTACTGCTAATAGATTATACTTGTGCATAGTTGAGACGGTTTAATATCCAAGAACACTTAATACTCACAGAAATAAAATAAATTTGAGTTTACAAAAAACCCCTGCAAATAAGTATAAAACGATGTTGCAATCATGAGCTACACAGCTCTTTCCCCATTTTCAAGACAAGTGAACTGAGGCACAAACATGGTTAAGACTAGACAGGAAGTCAGCGTCAAATTGGTTTCCAGGACTCTGCTCAAACCACCAGCCTGCATTTCCTCTAAATGTACTGTCTTTTAAAATCAAGAGAAGTTAACAATTACACAAAGCTGAGGAACACATTTAAATGGAAAAAAGTTATTTTTAGATATGTCACATTGGTTCACTGAGTACAGAGTTGGTGCTATTTTGCCTTCTGATATATTTGTACAACTTTTCACTGATGTCAGCCAGGAGATGCAAGTACGAGAGGGCAGAGCCCTCTCAGGAGACTGTTTCATGCTGTCGCTGGCAACAAAACCAGGGAGAGTTAAAAATAACACAGGACTATTGCTGTGGGGTGTAAGTAGGAACAAAGATGGTAAGTTATGAACATTTTGGAGCTGTAACATCTGTTTCTGTTGCTGTATTTTTGTCTCTTCACTCCTCATTTTGTCTCTTGGAGCCAGGGCCAGTTACCTTGGCAAAGCATCACACTTACAAAATATACCTCTCTGCGTAACAACTGCTGTTAATCTCTCTTACGCTTTCCTTTCTACACAGGGATAGAGGCCCATCTTCTAGATATTCCCGTGTCATCATCTCTGCAAAATGTAATAAATACTCATGTTCTACCAAGTTTCAAGCAAGTTATATTTTCTAAAATTCAGTTACAGACGCACATCTGAATTAGGGTTACCATACATGAGGGTTTTCCCGGACATGTCCTCTTTCTGGGTCCTCCAATCTGCGTCCAGGTTGTTTTTTAAAATATCAACAAATGCCCGGGATTTTGCTCTGCTCAGCATCAAAGTTTTTCCTGGCACTTCCCAGCTTGCCCCAGCAAGGAACTACTTGGGGCTGGAGGAAGTGGGGGGAGGGCAACTGGAGGCAGGGCGCACATGCACATGGCCAGCATGCAGCCAGGTAGGGCGGTGGGAGCAGCCCTGGCAGCTGCACGCAGGTAAAGCAGTGGGGGGTGGGGGTTGGAGAGCTACGCCTTGGGGCCTATGTGTCTGTGTCAGGGGGCTGTGGGGGGGATGGGTATGTGAGTGGGGCAGGTGCTTACTAGCGCTGGGGCTGCAGCAGAGCAAGGGGGTGGGGGAGGCACCTGTCCCTCAAGTAGGTAAAGGGGGAGAGGGGAGCTATGTGGCTGGGCTGGTGGCATTGGGGCTGGTGCCCCTGCTCGCAAGGGCAGAGTGGCTGAGTGATGCTGCAGGGCTGGGGGGGAGCAGGGGTCTGCGGGTTGGAGTGAGCAGCACTGGCAGGGCTGGAGGGGCTGTGGGTTGGGAGTGAGGGATACCCGGGGGGCGGTGGATCATGGGTTGGGAGTGTGGGGCACAGGCAGCACCAGGGGGCTGCAGGTCAGGGGTGAGAGGCACCAGCAGGGCTGGGCTGGCGGGGGGGCATGTTGCAGGTTGGG